TGAATTTTGAGCTGTCTACTCTAAATTATAGTTCTGGTATGGTATGTTACCATTTTTACCAAATAAAGCAAAACATAATACAGCATATGATATTAACATAAAGTAATTAGCATTTGATTTCCTAAGCAGGGAGCCTTTTTTCTTCCAAGGGCCATTTAGATATTCTCAGGCCATACAAAATCACTAATACAGGCAGACAGCTTCTGGAGGCCAACAAGAAGCATCCATTTCTTTCTTTCTTTTTTTTTTTTGGTCGGTTTTGGGGCCTGAACTCTGGGCCTGGGCGCTGTCCCTCAGTTCTTCAGCTCAAGGCTAGTGCTCTACCACTTGAGCCACAGCACCACTTCCAGCTTTTACTGCTTATGTGGAACTCATGCATGCAAGGCAAGCACTCTACCACTGAGCCACCTTCCCAAGAAGCATCCATTTCTTTGCAAATGTACCAAATGATTTTCAGGGCTTATACAGTTCAAGGGCTGGTTACTTCTGAGAGAGGTGAAATGATACATGAAAATAATCCACATATATACCGGAAATCAAAGACATCAACTAATTTTTTAAAAGGCTTCAAGGATAGATAGGAATTAAGATATAATGAAATGATCTATTTTTAAAAGATTTCTAGGAAGTACTTTCAATTTATTATGTATTTTACCTACAGATATTCCATTGGGGCTCCTGTTTATATTAGGGAAACATTTTCAATCACATTGACCCTCAATATTTATTGTGTTTCATACTGCTAGTCTTACAAATGTCTTTGATTAATTTTCAGGCCTTGAGGTGCTATTTATTAAATTAGGGATACAGCCTAGCAAATTAATAAATTATTACCGTGGAGGCACTTCTTGTCTTCTGAATGTATAAATGCATCACTTAAATGACTCTTAGGGAATAATTTACACATGAAGAGGCTCTGGTGGTTAAAAAAAGCTCTGTGCATTTTCTTATTCCTGGAAATAGTCTTGGGTGCTTAAGTAGTTATCAAAGCAATTTTTTTTCAAAGTCATGATGATTCTTCCTATTTTGGCATTTCCAACACATTCTAGATTAATAAATTTGATATAATATTAAACAGGCAGCATTTTGAACCAAAACATTAAAAGAAACAGGAAGATAGTTTCAACTGAGGGAATGTGCTGCTCATGATCTTGATCAGACTTAGTTTTCTTTCTTTGTAGGATTCCCCACCCCCACTCCTTCCCCCAAGTGAAGTACAAAAAAAGTAAACATAGAAAATACTTCCTATCAAGGAAAAGGAAGTTAGGAATTGGTTGCTTCTGAAAAAAGAACTCACAACTCCCCAATCCCTTTTCAAGTATTAAAAGGTGAGTGCAACAATTCTCAACTTCTGATCTGGTGCCTGTTTTCCTTGTCCCGCAAGCTCTTTGTTCTGTTTGCTTCTATCTATATGACACAGATCTATCTCAAATTTAGGTGTTATGAAATTAGAAAAAATCAGAAATGGTTTAGTTGAATGAATTTCCTCCTGGGTTATAAACTTTATGACAACAGGAACTCTAATTTATACACTCTGAGATCCTACCTTTGTTCCTGATACATGGGATTATTTTGGTGAATGAAGATATAAATGTACATAATGTATACCATACATTATTGAAGAGAGTTCTTAATTATTCTAAATGTAAGTTTGTAAAATGTCTGTTTACTGTCTGTCCCATTATCTAGTTTTCTCCCCATGAATCTTTGTCCAAATCCACATAGCAAAAGATGGCAAATTGTTCATGTTTATTGATACGGTTATTTGAACTTGTAAATTATCAATAATTTGTTATAACCAACAGATAAAATTTATTTCTAGGTGCTCCTTAACACCCTAATTACAATAGATTTTTCTTATTTATTTCCAGTCCTGGGCCTTGAACTCACAGGCCTAGATGTTGTCCTTGAGCCTCTTTGTGTTCAAGACTAGTGCTCTACCATTTGAGTAACAGCTCCATGTCCGCCTTTTTCTGAGTAGTTTATTGGAGAGAAGAGTCTTTTCCTGCTCAGGCTGGCTTTGAACTGTGAAGCTCCATCTCAGCCTCCTGAGTAGCTAGAATTACAGGTATGAGCTACAGGTGCCTGGCATGATTTTCTTTTTTTATTTTGCCAGCAACATCCAATCTGGCCTCAACTGCTAAATTAGTAAAACACTTGGAAATGAAAATCCTGAAAGGAGAAAGATGGGTGCTAGGATAGGGGTGGTGGTTGTGGCAGTTGGCAGTGATCAGAAGATAAGATCTGTCATAGACACTGTCATTTTTCACTCTCCTATTCTTATCTGATAATATGCCGCTCATTTTTCTCTTCTGCTGCTCAAATTAGCTCCACAGTGCTTCATACTTTGTTATACCTCATAGAATGTATTTTTGTAAATGATTACTCTGAGTAACTGGAGGGCCTATCCCTCATTACCTTAATTTTAAATATTGCTATTATTAGTTGGAAGTTGGTCTTAAAAAATTAAGCAGCAGTGCTTTTTCAATAGCTATACTGTTGAATGCCCAAAGATGTTTTCCATATTTGTACTTCGCTTAAAATGTGAAGTTCTATACAAATTAATTAAATAAGAAAGGAATTTCTGTTTTGATTGCTTTTAACAAGCTAACTTCTTAAAATAGGTTTGAATTACAAATGGAAAGATTAGCATGAATTTCTTTGTTCAAAGTTGAATCTAGAGTAGTCTGGGTCATGTTTTCTTTTTCTATCTTTTCTACTGGTACTAGTCTTTCTGTTGTTTAAGGGGGGGTCATGTAAGGACGTTGGTGGAAGGGATCTGTGCGCCATCTACTGACCGAATTTACATTTCTAGTGTCTAGAGTTTGGGAATCACCATTCAGTCCCGGATATCAAAGCATTCTTTGAGAAAGGAGAGTTATTGGGGAACGACCTCTCAGACCCTGACTTGTTCCTGATTTCCGGAATCTGAATTCAGCAAAAGTGTAATTCAACAAAGGAAAATCAAACCCCTTTATCCTCATCTTCTGGGAAGAATTACAAGAGATCAGGGCAGAGCATAAAGAGATGTTGGTCAAACTCTGAAATCAAATAGAAATCAAGTTCTAATTTCCACTTGTGCTCTAAGCCACACTCATTCCTAATAGTTATTACTTAACAGGAAAGGGCTTTACTAATGAATCCGATCTGAAAACTTTCAGTTTCGTCTTACCATTCCATTCAGTTTCGTCTTACCATTCCAAAAGATTTCTCTTCAATCTTTTTATCAAAAGTTTAATAATGCACAGCAGGTAGACCCACCCCTCACATAGATACTGTACCTAGTTTGTCTTCACACACGCCTACAAGATTATAATATTTATATAGTTGTGATATGTACTTATGAACACAGACAAGAAGATGCACTTGTGTACTTTGTTGAGAAATCTAAGCCATTGAGATACTCCCTCCCAATCATTTACTCCTCTTCATGCTAAACCTTGTCAAGGGTTGAAGAAGGCTGGGATCCTCCACCGAAGCTGTTTTGGTTGTAACTGGGAAACAGTATCACTAAACCACTGGAGAGTTGGAAGTCTGCAGGCTTGGAGATTAAAGCTGGGTGGAAGTGATACAATCTGATTCTCATTATCTTTTTTTTTTTTTTTTTTGGTGAGCAGCAAGGAGAATTGAACATTAGGAGACCGGATGTCCAGTCAACCTCCAACCTGCTCATAATAAGAGCTAGGAAGATGCAAGGATCATCATTTAACGAATCAAATTGACACCCATTTGATTTTCATATCAAATATTTGATTTTCATATCAATCGTCTAGTTCTTATTCGTTTCCTTTCAAAAAGAGTATACGCATTTCTAAAGGAAGTCAGCCACTAGGTTTCCTTGAGACCCACACACCACGACCACCACTCTATCCACGGCTGCTGAGCATGGGAACATTTGAGAAGAGAGACTCTGGGAACACTCTTGAGACTGGTTGTCAGCGGGAGCCTAAATGAATTAATACTCAGAAATGGATTACGTTGGTTGTTACCAATATGCCTAAAGATTACGATCTACTTTATGCACATTACAGTCAGTAGTAACTTTCTCTGCTATTTTAAGGCTCCCGGTCGCTGAGCGCATCCTCAGCGGACAGTCCAATCCAGCAAGCTGTCAAGGGAGGAAGCGTCCCAAAGACAAACAACTCGGAGCCAGTGCCCAAGGGTCCGCACTGGGTCCTGCCAAGTGTCTCGCCTTCACCTGGGCACGGTTGGTGACGCTTCCAACCCTAGATTACCCAATAAGGGAGGCGTTCGCTAGGAAGGAAGTAACAATTTGGTTTCTTCATTTCCAACAATTGCGGTGGCAGTGGCGGTGGCGGTGGCAGCAGAGCGGGCGGTGCGGTGGTGGGCGGGTGCTCGTGAGCGCGTGCGGAAGGGGTCAGGGAATGGTTCCAAGTCTCAGCGCTGGCTCTTTTGATACCTGCTTTTGGGTCGGGTTAATTTTGCTCGCCTTCTTTAAGTTTGGGTGTGCGTTCTGGCTTTTTATTTCTTACACACACACACACGCACACATATGTTGGGGAAAGTAAAAGAAAGTCTCCTTCGACCTACTAACGCCAAAGACTGGATTGGACATCCCTTCTCCCGCTGCCAGGGAGCTCGAGGCAGTGGCTACATTCCAGCAGTTTTTATCCGTTTTTTATTGTAAGGCGAACGGAGTTTGCACAGGGGTCGGGGATGGCTCCCCAGCCGGCCTCTCTCTCCCTCTCTCTCCCAACGTCAGGGACCCTCCCCCTCCATTTCCTCCCCCCCACCCCCCCAACTCCCCATCAGGAACCTGTTACTTTAAGCGAGGCGTTCCAGTGTGGCGCTGCGGGCCGCGGGGGTTTCGGGAGGCGGCCGGTGATTGGCTCTTTCGAGCTCCCCCTGGCTCGCTCGCAAGGCCTCCCCGCGCGCTCCGCCCCGCCCGCACGCCCTCCCTCCGCCCCGTGAGGCTGGGAGCCCGGGTGTCAGGCGCCACAGCGCATGCTCGGGAATCATCCTCTGGCCCAGGAGCTTGCTGCTGCTGCTGCTGCTGCTGCTGCTTTTGCTTTTGGGGCTGAGTTTAATAAGCGAGCGAGCGAGCGAGCGAGCACGGGGCGCGGGGGGGGGGGAGAGAAAAAGGCAGAGAATGTCCGCCATCTACCCTCCGCTTCTGGGCGCGCTCTCATTCATAGCTGCCTCTTCATGAATTACAGCTGAAGCGGGACGGGGAGGGGTGTGGGGGGGTACCACACAACACCCCAGAAAATTCTCCGGGCCCCCAGGCATGGCTAGCTCGGTAAGTACATGCAATAATAATAATTAATAATAATAATAAAAGAACCTCCCCCCCTTCCTCTCCGCTCTTTCCCTCCTTTGCCCTGCGCCGCCGCAGCCCAGACAGCGCCAGCGCCTGGGCTCGCTCCGCGGTTCCAATTAGAGAAAGGTTGGTACGGCTAGCCGGGAGCTGCTGCCTCTCCCTCAGCCTCCACTCCCCTCCTCCCCACCCCCCTGGCGCGCGCGCGCACACACACACACACACACACACGCACACGCACACACGCTCGTCCCTCCACCCCCCCTCGCGCCTCCCTCCCTCCCTCCTTCCCTCCCTCCTCGCCTCTTTGCAATCACAAGAAGCGCACTCACACACTCGCTCACACGCGCGCACTCACATACTCAGACACGGTGGAAGGAGGCGAATAATAACTCAGCCATATTTCAGCCGCCGCCGCCGCCGCCGTCGCTGCCGGGAGCTGCGGGCACCGTCCGGGGACGCGGCGAGCAGCCTGGGCGGCCGCACCTCCGCAAAGCTCCGCGGCCGTAGGCTACGATGGTGCGTTCTCCCCGGCGCGCGCGCGCGTGTGTGTGAGCCGGAATGTGCGGGCTGACAGCGGCGGGGCTGCACGCAACTTTACCCCAGCGCCCGGTGTGCGCCCAGCCCAGGCTCGGCGGCTGTCTGCCCGCCGCCCTGCTTCGTTGAATTTCATTTTTTTTGGGGGGGGAGGGAGGGAGAGAGGGAGGGCGGGGGAGGTAGGAGGTACTTTGGGACCACTTTGGTTCTTGGAAGTGTGTTGCGGGGGTTCTGTTTCCCCGGCTTCTCCCATCGCGTGGAGAGTGTGTGTGTATGGGGGGGCGCTTTTCTCTGGGGAGGGGGTCGCGGGTGCTTTAAGTTATGGATGCCTCGGCGTGTTTTCCTTCGGGCGTGTGCGTGTGTGTGTGTGACGACGTCCCATTTTTGTTGTGCATGAACCCCCTGGTAAGAAAGAGCACGGGAGTTTGTGCCCATCATTACCGGCTGCCTGTAGTTTCCATCCCGCCTGGCACAGCGCTCCCCACGCACGCTCACACACACACACACACACACACACGTACACAAAGACTTCCTCGGCGTGTGCCGGTCGCCGTGGTACTTTCGGGGAAGGGACTTGCTCTAACCCCCCCCCCGCCCCCGCCCCGGTGTTTCCAGCCACCTCCCCTCCCACGCCGGGAAACCGCCCGGCTTCGCCTCTTAATTGTTTCCTAATTTGTTGCCGATGGATTTGTTGTTGCTCCTCGCGGCTGAGTGTGTTCTCACCCCCCCCCCCATCCCCTTCCCGACTGGGGGTAGCATTCCGTTACAATCGTGGCTGTTCTGCCGGCCGGATCCTCGGCTCCTGGGGACCGGCCCGGTGCGGCCCAGGGTTTTGGGGGGTGTGGGGTGTGTGCGCCCACGCGCGTGAAACGTGGATGCCGAGGGCACTGCCGTTTCCTTTTATGTACGTTTCAAGGAGGAAAAAAAAGATGTCAGGCTCAATGTTCAGTACGGAACGATCGCCTTCCTGTTGTTCACGGCCGTCTCTCCTCCCCCCTGCCTGCAGTGTGCCGTGCAGGTGAAGCTGGAGCTGGGGCACCGCGCCCAGGTGAGGAAAAAACCCACCGTGGAGGGCTTCACCCACGACTGGATGGTGTTCGTGCGCGGCCCGGAGCACAGTAACATACAGCACTTTGTGGAGAAAGTCGTCTTCCACTTGCACGAAAGCTTTCCAAGGCCAAAAAGAGGTAGGGCTCGAATACAAAAGAGATTTGATTTTTTTAAAAAAAATGTCTTTGCTTAGCCAGACAACCATCTCCTTGGCCCGGGCGGTCCTACAGCCCTGCTTCCCTCTCCTCCCCGTGCTGTGATCACCGGCTGCTGCGATCACCGGCTGGAGGAGCCTCGGGACCCGGTGCTCGGCGCCGCGCTGGCCAGGTCTGGGCTCCTGCCCGCGCGCGTGCGAGAGCCACTTCAGCTCGGTGAAAGTCACCGCAGAGAAAGGAACGTCAGGTGTCGGGTGTTTACTCATCCCAAACCAGCCCTCAGCGGTCCTCTGGGGTTAGCCGCGGGTTCTGTGGGGGAAGGCGCAATTAGTTGTTGGGGTTGGAGGTTTAGGGTGTGGGGCTGGAGGAGGGAATAAACAGTTCGAGCCCTTTTTTTTTTTTTCTCTTCTTCCGTTCCTAGAGGAACAGAGATTTACCTGTGCTGCCAGCAAAGAATGCATTGCATGTAGTTATTGTTCTGTCACCAGAAGTCGATTCTATTTGGGGTCGTCTCTGTCTTTCTCTCTGGGTGTGAGGCATTGGATGCCAGTTGCCATAGATTGTCTTTTTTTGGGGAGGGCGTTTAGCCACTGCCACACACTACCCCCAGTGGGGATTTTACTTAGTTGGGGGGCTTCTTTGTCCTGGCCCCTCCTTGGCACTTGTCTGCCCCCTGAATTTTGAGCAATGGTCTGAAGTGTCTGTCGGATGTGGTCCTCAGGGAGTGAGTTCCTTTATAGGTTTCAAGCTGAGTTTCAGAGACATGAAGCTGGGTCAGCTGGGTCATCTATTTTTTCAGAGCCTCTTCACCTTGGTTCTTTGCCTTGGAGTCTGGTTTGCATAAGCCAGAGTCAGCCTCTGCAGCCCCAAACATTTTCCATAAAGAGCAGGACAATTTTGGGGAAAATAAAATGGTGTCACTTCCAAATAAATTTGAAGGGTTAGTATTATTATTATTATTTTTAGAAATCCTGGCTTCAATTCCCTTCAGCCTCTGGAAAGCTACTCCTTGGTTGTTTTAGTTGGATTAGTGGAGGTAACAGTACAAATACAATAAGGTGCTTTGTTTGTGTGCAGGTTTATTTATCTAAGTCGACACAATGGCTAGTAGTTATCTTCCATTTGATCCATAATCTTTATTGGCATCTAGAACTCCTGCAGTTTCTTAGGGTAACATCATAATAAATCCATTCTGCTTAGAGCTACATGGAAATTACTGAACATTCAGGGCTGAATAAAGAAAGGAGAAATGTTGCGTGCTTTTGAGGTGGCAGAGTTTCTGTTGGTGCTTATTTTTGTTTCCAGTGTTTATGAAATGGGAAGGATGATTGTATTTTTGTGCTTTTAGTGGCTTGGTTTATAGCTTCTCTTGAAAACTTGAATGGTTGAATTTTTGATGGGCTTCATTAATGGTTAATAAATGCATCCAGGACTAAGAATATGCATGGCCTTTAGGAAATAACATTTACTATTCGTTAGCATTTTATATCAAAAGGTAAAGAGAGAGAGATCATACTTTATATTTCTTCAAAGCTGTGGTAAGGGTGAGCATTGTCAAGTTTTTGTCATTGCAGAAGGTTGAGTATGATGCTTCTCAGAATCTCTCTCTTTCCATGTGTCTGTAGAGCCATTGCAGAGGAGTTTAAACAAAAGAAACCACCTTTTAAGGTGCTTAATACACAGTATTACTGCTACTTGGCTGTTGTTCATTTCAAGGTGAAATATACTTAACAAAAAAACCCCAATATTTATTGTATTAGGAAGATTAACTCAGTTGGCAGAAGATGTAGTTCTTAAGGTAACTTTATTTGGGCATCCTGGCAATCAACAAATTGACATAAAACTAAAGATGATCACCCTCTTCTGTTTTTTTACACTCTGCTTCACTGAGTGTTTGTGGTGATGTTTCCCTTTATTTCCTATGTGTAATGATTTTCTGTCCAGCCTGAGGGAACATGAGGGTGCTGCCCACAAAAGCCCACACCTGGGAGATGTTGCTAGGTGTGGTGAGCCACTTGGTAACAGTGAGGTCTCCTCACACCTGTCTAGTGAGAAAGGTCTGGTGTTGGACTCTACATTTTTAAAATTCTCAACGGTAGTATCTTTATGAAGTATATAAGCCATTGTTTTAAAATGTTTATTTTTGGATTTTTATTTGTATGCGTGGTTCCCATGATGTGACAAGTCCTGGGAAAAATGCCAACTTACATTGCCCAGGAGAGACCTTGTCATACTGTAATTACACATGATTCAGATTGCAGGAGAAGGTTTTTCTGTTCATTGGGAATAGTTAGCTGTAAGTTCAAGTAACACCAAACATGTCACTTAATCCTGAGACTTTTTTTTTTGCTATAAAGTTTTTTCAAATGATAAGAATAAATGGGGAATACGAATGCCAGGTATTTCTGTGGCTACTTCTACTCCTTTTAAAAGATGCTATGCTTTGTTAAATTGTAGATCTGTAAGTAATAGGATAGAATTCAGCTAATTGAAAATGGGAGAAAGTACACAATGAACTGAGTTTAGATGTTTAAAAGAAATGCTCATACTCTAACTATAAAGGGCTATGCATACTGTAAAGAGCTATGCAAAGTGACAAGTTAATCATCTTCACTATATACAGTAGCTGATAACCAGAGATGAACCCTAGCTGAACATGAATTGCTCAGCCATGAAGATGGCTGAATCTTTAGTTTCATAAATTTGTGGTTTAGAAATATGAATTGATTTTCAGGTTGATTTCCTTTACTTCACAATAATATTATGAAAACTTGTTGAGGAAGAAATTATAGTATTTTCAACTTGTTACCAGAGGAGAATAATATACACCATTTCAGAAGTGAGTTAATTGGATCTGAATTAATGAGGTTTTACAGTTGCACAGAAGTATAGGAGATTCTCATAGAATAAGAGATTTTAATGAAATAGTGAAGCCTCGAATTCCATTAGCCAATACAGAAGAGGCAGGTTCAGTGTAATGCATTGTTAAACTACCTACTTAATAGAAAAGACCATAATCTTATTTGTTAGTGCCAAAGATTTATACATGTTTGACATGACTAAAATGAATAGTCACATTCAAAATAGTTTTTTAAATATTAATGTTTTCAATTTCAGTAAGATGCCAATTTCAGAGAATTTTCTTTCCAATTACATCCATGTTTACTTTTGTATTATGTTCATTTGACATTTATGATATGAAATCTGTTGCTTACTATTTTATGTAAGCTAACTTGGTCATTTTGGTATGATTTGGTAGCTTTTATTTGGAGCCTTTAGTCCTTTGACCACTTAAAATATAAAATATAACCAGTCCATTATCACAACTCTTATTTGATCCAAACATCTGGGGCTAGCTTTTTTTTTTTTTTCCATCTTTTCTTTTTTGGTACTGGGGATCGAACCCAGGACGTTGCGCTTGCTAGGCCACTGAGCTACATCCCAGCCCTCTGGGGCTAGCTTTACACATAGCAGAGTTGTGATTTTCTTTTTCTTTTTTTAAAATTTACGACCTTTATTAACAGGTGCTTGCAGTTTGTTGACTTTTTTGAAAAAGTCAAGTTGTAGGGGCTGGGAAGGTGGCTCAGAAGGTGGCTCAGTGGTAGAGTGCTTGCCTTGCATGCCTGAGGCCCTGGGTTCAATTCCCCGGCACCACATAAGCAAAAAAAAAGAAAAAAGCCGGAAGTGGCACTATGGTTCAAGTGGTAGTTCGCTAGCCTTGAGCTGAAGAGCTGAGGGACAGCACCCAGGCCCAGAGTTCAGGCCCCATGACCAGACCCCCCCCCCCCAAAAAAAAAAAAAAGGAAAGAAAAAGTCAAGTTGTAAACTTTTATTACAAATTAAAAATGAAGTTCTTAAAAATCTCAACTTGACCAGATATGAAACAATTTAAAAACCTTTAAGGGTGTATTGAGAAAAACCAGAGCTGTGATTTTCATCTGAGAGAATTTGGACAACTTAAAAAAAAATCAAGGTACCTATTCAGAATTTTGTGAGTATTTCCTCTTTTGAGATATAAAGAGGTATAAATTAAAAAGAAAGGTATAAAGTCATTAAAATGTATAAATGAGTGTTATTTGCGTCTGATTCCGACTGGAATTAAGATGACTACTGAGAAAACTTTAATTCTTGTCATTTTGGAGCAACGTAAATATAATTTTCCAAAGTACTTAAAAGCTGAGATATTAGAAGGTATTTCACATGCTGTTGGTGAGACTATAAATTGGGCATGAACATTTAGGTGGACATTTGGCAAAACCTATTAGAATTGCTGAAGTTTATACCCTTTATTCTAGCAATTTTACTTCTAGGAATTTTCCAAAAGCTATTTCAAGTCTCTGACCATTTAAGAGATGTGCCTATTCAGATAAAAAGTACATGTATCTGCTATATATGTATATAAAAAAGCATATGATTACTGTGGCTTATGCCCGTAATCATTCTTATTCTGAAGGCTGAGATCTGAGGATTTCAATTTGAATCTAGCCTAGCAGGAAAGTCCATGAAACTCTTACCCCATTTAACCACCAAAAAGTCAGAAGTGAAGTTGTGGCGCAAGTAGTAGAATGTTAGCCTTTCACAAAAAAGCTCAAGGACAGCACCCACGCTCTGAGTTGAAATCCTAGGGGCCAGCATGCATGCATACACACACACACACACAACACACACAGAGTATACATGCGTGTATGTGTATATAAATAAAATTTTGGATGAATGGGCACCAAAGTCTCATCAATAGTTTTCTTCATTGAGTGCTTGTGGTGTTGTGGGATGTGATTATATTTTTGTGTTTGATTTGAAAGAATAAAATTAATACTGTATATCATGAGCAACATTACTTTGGAAGACTGAAAGAAAAGAATCAGTATGGAATATTGCCTTTTAAACAGATTAGCATGTAACTGTGTGAAGAGTGATCTTTAACCATTTTAGCTAGGCATTGTTTAATATTGAAGAGGAGTTAAGATCAGGAATTGTAGACTTGTATCCAAAGGCTAGTTTAAGGATTTCCTGGAATGATCTGGGCAAGTTATTTTTCTCCCTCATTTGTGTTATGGGACTAACAATAGAACTGCAATTTTATAAAGATTAAATATAAATCCTTTATTTTCAAACTCATGAGACTGAAGGTCTCCTTACACTCTTACAAATCATATAAGGGCTTAAAAGAATTTATCTATTTGTTATATCTATTAATTTTACTCTACTAAAAATGAAAACAGACATTTTAGACAAATAATGTGTTTCAAGAGAAAACTAACTATTGCCTGTGAAAATTACATTGTTTTCGTGACAAACTATTGTCCAAAACAAAAAAAATGAAAGAAATATCATTGTTTATTTTTGTAAATCTCTTTAATGCCTGGATTCATAGACTTTATATCCACTTCTGTGTTCAAACTGCAGGGTTATCACATGCCTTGTGGCCTCAATAGAAATGAGAATGATAAAGGCATGTCTTGGGATTGTTTTTGTTTTTGTTTCTGTTTTTTTTTTTT